AGTTCAGGAGAGAGGGGGCGGGGTTTTGCATGATGTCGACCTGAGAATGCAGACACGATGGCTGGATTGCGTTTACATTACACTGAGATCCGATCACAATGCGTCCTCGACTACCTCTGGACCAGGACACGCTGATCGGATAACATTCCGATCAGAAGCGCGTTTACACTTGTCTTTTCAATGTGTATGTGGACAACATCCGGATTCAGGTCGCATGTTAATGCCAAGTGTAAACGCAGCCTCTGATGACATGTGTGCACCAGCACAAGGGACGGGACAATAATCAATCCCCTCCAGCAATCTGTCACTCACATGAGATCACAGCAATTAGCAAATGACAACAACCTAATCAATTCCTGATGGACAAAATCAAGTCCATCCTTACATTTTTTCTTTTTAAATTTTCCTTCATGCCAACTTTAATGAGCAAGTTTTTTTTAATAATAATAAAATTATTCAGAACTAATATTAACTTAATTTTAACATGTTATTTCAATATTTCAATTAAAGATCCTGAGGATGAACCCTAACCCTAAAATACACCTTGCACCACTTTTAGACAAGAGTTATTACATTTAGTCAACTTTCCTTGTGAGAATGTCTTCACAAGTCGCTTTTGTCAGGTTTTTCATTTTCAGAAATATCACACATAGTGCTACAGTCTCTAAGGGTGCGTGTAAGCAGCTGAGACACAGGTGGCTTTTTTAGTCTAATGAACCTACAGAGTGTAACGTGATTCGCACACCTGCAGCAGGTAGAGCTCATTACTTATTCAAAGCCCCTGCAAGTGACACCCTTACATGGCAAAGCACAATTCCACATACACGTTCTCACATTTTACCTATTGCTCAGATACCTGGAGGCCTTTTATACACATCATTAAGTTAATCAAGCGTGCGGTGGGAAAAACTCAGCACGTTAGCAGAAACGCTGATCACATGATCACCTGAGGTACCCTGGTCTCAGTGGAGGGATAGAGCATCAAAGGTGCTTGGCAACTAAGCTAAGTTTTCCCTCGTATGAGTCACAATAACGTGGCATTAAATCAATGGCCGCCACCTGCTTGATCACTGGATAAATGCTAACAGGATGCATTTCAAGGGCAGTAAAGCTGACGTCTTACCTTTCCTCTCTGATTGAGAGGTTCTATGGTGAGGGCATCCGCACCGATATCCACTATCATGCCCAGCTGGAACCCGTCGGTTGGGTGGGGCGCCCACACAGGCTTCCCATCCTCCATTGCACCCCGCAGCGCGTTTACACTTGGCAACATCAGCTGACTTCTCTATCTGGATAACCGATCGGATCTGTCGTTCCCGCGGAATATTTAAATAAGTCTGCAGATGATGGCCCTGTGCAAAGTCGACCTGAAGTGGTTGGTTTTCTTTTGAAAACCATATTCAGTCACGGTACATTTAACAAAGGAAAATAACTACGAGTCTCACTAGTTCAGGAGAGAGGGGGCGGGGTTTTGCATGATGTCGACCTGAGAATGTAGACACGATGGCTGGATTGCGTTTACATTACACTGAGATCCGATCACAATGCGTCCTCGACTACCTCTGGACCAGGACACGCTGATCGGATAACATTCCGATCAGAAGCGCGTTTACACTTGTCTTTTCAATGTGTATGTGGACAACATCCGGATTCAGGTCGCATGTTAATGCCAAGTGTAAACGCAGCCTCTGATGACATGTGTGCACCAGCACAAGGGACGGGACAATAATCAATCCCCTCCAGCAATCTGTCACTCACATGAGATCACAGCAATTAGCAAATGACAACAACCTAATCAATTCCTGATGGACAAAATCAAGTCCATCCTTACATTTTTTCTTTTTAAATTTTCCTTCATGCCAACTTTAATGAGCAAGTTTTTTTTAATAATAATAAAATTATTCAGAACTAATATTAACTTAATTTTAACATGTTATTTCAATATTTCAATTAAAGATCCTGAGGATGAACCCTAACCCTAAAATACACCTTGCACCACTTTTAGACAAGAGTTATTACATTTAGTCAACTTTCCTTGTGAGAATGTCTTCACAAGTCGCTTTTGTCAGGTTTTTCATTTTCAGAAATATCACACACAGTGCTACAGTCTCTAAGGGAGCGTGTAAGCAGCTGAGACACAGGTGGCTTTTTTAGTCTAATGAACCTACAGAGTGTAACGTGATTCGCACACCTGCAGCAGGTAGAGCTCATTACTTATTCAAAGCCCCTGCAAGTGACACCCTTACATGGCACAGCACAATTCCACATACACGTTCTCACATTTTACCTATTGCTCAGATACCTGGAGGCCTTTTATACACATCATTAAGTTAATCAAGCGTGCGGTGGGAAAAACTCAGCACGTTAGCAGAAACGCTGATCACATGATCACCTGAGGTACCCTGGTCTCAGTGGAGGGATAGAGCATCAAAGGTGCTTGGCAACTAAGCTAAGTTTTCCCTCGTATGAGTCACAATAACGTGGCATTAAATCAATGGCCGCCACCTGCTTGATCACTGGATAAATGCTAACAGGATGCATTTCAAGGGCAGTAAAGCTGACGTCTTACCTTTCCTCTCTGATTGAGAGGTTCTATGGTGAGGGCATCCGCACCGATATCCACTATCATGCCCAGCTGGAACCCGTCGGTTGGGTGGGGCGCCCACACAGGCTTCCCATCCTCCATTGCACCCCGCAACTACACCGCAGCTCTGGAAGACACACACACATGTTTAAACACTGACTTGGCTGGCAGTATGCAAAGCTTGGTCGACAGAAAAGTAATTGTTTTGTTTAACACAAACCACGTGACTGTAAACAAAATGTCCTTCAGTATGCTGCAAGTGGAGGCCGACAAGGTTGTCTCTAGTACAGACGATGATAATGAAAATAACAAAACAACTTACATTCATTAGCCACTTCAAATTCTTGATATGCATAATGAACAAATACACACTGAAACTAGACCATACAATTCTGGCTGCCTCAATATTAGTGTTCTGAGTGGTTGCCAGAGAATTGTTAGCGAGTCCTGAGAGGTTGCTAGATCATTCCTAGTGTGCTCTGGTTGCAATGGCATTGGTAAGACCCCTTTCCACTATCTCCCACATTTGTATATGATTTTCGCATTTTGCTCCCTAGTGGCAGATGTGCAGAACTTCCAATTTGGCCATGAAGCAGCTGTCACCCTCCACGTATTCACCATGGTAAAATAAATAAATAGTGTAGGCCTATATGTCCACAGAAAATAAATGACCGTCAATATGTTTGAAAGCAAAGCACAGCAGGTTTACTAGGGATGAACAATTCAAATAATTATGTAATAATTATATTGGATATTATTCATAACCGCCAACTTTACATTCACACATTCACATTTGACACTTTAAGCCAAAGCAACTAGCATTCAAGATACATTTTTCCAAAGCATGCATTCTCTGGGAATCAAACCCATGGCCATTGCTTGAGGTATTCCCTACTGTTGGACGTACTGGAAGGCTACTTACAGAAATAGCATTTAAAAATTTATATTTTAGTACAAAAGTGTTGGCAATTCTTACCTCACACTTACAGTTTTGATTAGAATTCATCACATCCTGTCAGGTGGTCACATACTGTACGATCTTAGCTGCAAAACTTGAAATATTTCAATGCATCTGAAGCTTAAATTGTATCCAAAAATTCTGCATAAATTTTGTTGGAACATCACGAAGCTCCTGTACTACTCTTCATTGGAAATTAATGACTTTTGTTCTGTCATTTGTCAGAGATGAAAAGCACAGCTTTAGTGTTTTCTGAGTGGTTGCTAAGAAATTGCTAGGGTGTTCTGTGTGGTTGCTAGGCCTTTTCTGGTATTTGTTTACTGGCCTAAATCAAAAGAGTCAATGTTTATGTCTCATAGAAGTACTTAGATTTTGTCACTTCATGTATATTTACTGATTAGATGTCTATTGAATCATGAAAATGCTAAGTGTAAACACCCTCCAGTATGCGAGAAGGATAGCAATCTGATCACTCAAACTTTAAACTGTGAGACACATACAAGACCCAGTTTAATCGATTGGAAATACAACTGGTTATTCAGGCCACATGCTAACTTTATTCTTCCATTAACAAGTGTATGGGAAGTGTATGGAAATTGTATTATTCTATTAATCATCTGTAAGTTGAAAATCATGCAGTTTGTTCAAATTCCATACTATGAACAATATTAATTGTGATGCATGCCTTGGCAAACACTATGGTCTGATTTAGGGATGCGCAATATTATCGGAACATTATCCGAATCGGCCAATGATGGCTTAAAATGTCAAATCAGCATCAGCATCGGCCCAATGGGAAAAATTATGTCGATATGCCTTGTTGATAAGACGAATAACTCACATGTGCTCAGGGTGTGCTAACGATAAGATCACGTCTGCAGTGTAGTCATTCTTGAAGCGAACTTTTGCCTGAATGGTGATTAGATTCACTGTTTTGGATTGCCACATTTAATTTGAGAATACAAGTACAGAATGACGCGTGTGGCGTGCCATATAGAGTCATCAGTCACTAGCGAGTGCAGCAGCAACAGCCTCCCCCGGGTCCTAATGCCCATCCAGTAAGGCCGCCGCTGTTGGCCTACTTGTAATAAAATGAAAGTAAAATACACAAATAACATGGTGTTTCTAATAAAATAAATCAGTAATTGATGTCATAATATCATGAGTATATTTTGATTTAATATATTGGTATCAGCATCTATGAGTTGAAAAATATCGGCATATCGGATATCTGCAAAAATCCAATATCGTGCATCCCTAGTCAGATTGGTCTCATATTATTACGAAAGGTAAAAATGTGTTTTTTTATGCCGACTAATGATGTTTTGAAAAATTAGGCCACTCTCAGACAAATGTGCCATCTACTGTGGACTTGTCATTTCAACAACAGGTCTATTGAGATATTTTAGTCTCCTGGCTTGTTTCTCCATATGTTTTTTCGTTGATCTTGTTATTCCCTTCAGGTATGGGCTTAACCTGTAATAGTGGATTGCTCTCTGAGCCATCTTTATCTGCACTGACTCTCCTCTTAAGAGAACAGTTGGTGGCCCTATCTGATCTCTTTCTGATCCTACTATAAACCATTGACTTCTTACAGTGTTCAATATAATTCCCTATTAAGATCAGGTGATTTAACTGAAGCACTGGATGCCATCCGTTAAGATCCATGAGATCCACTGAGGGCCGCAGACTGCATGACCTGTAACTGAACTGCTGTCAAAGTCTACAAAAGCAATAATGGCTAATCACAAGGACGTTATTACACCTGGCAAAAATACAGCACTGACTTTATGTCAAAGACATCTGCTGTGCGTAGGGCTGGGTATCATTCAAATTTTTTTTATATCGTACCGATACCTTGACTTTGATACCGGTTCCTGAACGATACTTTTTTCGATACCAATTTTATTAAATCCATTTTAACAAGATTACATTACCTCAAAAAAAAATTGGTTTTATTTTTTCAGCTTGTTGAGGTTTCTACAGACTCAAAGACTGATCTCCTGAGCCACTGCAACCAACAAAATAAATCAGTGCAAATAGTTTTAATAAAGTTCAAATAGTTTTCAGTTTACACATCTGTTAGGCTACATTTACAAGATGGCCATCGAAAGTGAAGAAGGCTTTGTTGAAAATGCCAGAGACATTGAAACAAGTGATATGGAGATAAAAGAGAAAATGACCTCTAAACCAAAGTTGCCTAGCAACATGTAAATATTGGTGCAGAAATTTCAAGCAAACAGCATGCAATACACTTTTTATCATAAAAAATAAACCATTAAAAAAAAAAATCTAATAAAATGGCTCAATATCCACTGATAATGAACACACAAGTCCTTTTAAAGCATACTTGGCAATGCAAGCCTGGCTGAGATACAGTCTCTTCCACAAGAATCAACACAGATCCAAAATAACAACAAAACTGTGAGAAACACTCCACGTCCGCATTACTGTGATAGTCAACAACAGATATTTCTTTCAAATAAACATATCATCTGAAGCTACATGTTTCCAGTGAGACAATCATAGAGATGAGTAATTGCACATAATTACGTTGTCATAGGCAATGGCTCGGGGTCAAAGAGCTGTGAGTTTCCTGTACCACACATACTGTATCCCTCCTCTGCTCCTGCTCTCTTTATAGCCAGAGAATATGGAAAACAGGACGCAACAGGATGCAAAGAGGCCAGTGTCGTTGGGACTTC